GGAAATGGTCCAGTTTCATTCTTCTGCATGTGGCTATCCAATTTTCCCAACACCATTTGTTGAAGAGACTGTCTTTTTTCCACTGGACATTCTTTCCTGCTTTGTCGAAGATTAGTTGACCATAGAGTTGAGGGTCCATTTCTGGGCTCTCTCTTCTGTTCCATTGATCTATGTGTCTGTTTTTGTGCCAGTACCATACTGTCTTGATGATTACAGCTTTGTAATAGAGCTAGAAATCCGGAATTGTGATGCCACCAACTTTGCTTTTCTTTTTCAACATTCCTCTGGCTATTCGGGGTCTTTTCTGGTTCCATACAAATTTTAGGATTATTTGTTCCATTTCTTTGAAAAAAGTATGGTATTTTGATAGGGATTGCATTAAATGTGTAGATTGCTCTAGGTAGCACAGACATTTTCACAATATTTGTTCTTCTAATCTATGCACATGGAATGTTTTTCCATTTCTCTGTGTCTTCCTCAATTTCTTTCATGAGTATTTTATAGTTTTCTGAGTACAGATTCTTTGCCTCTTTGGTTAGATTTAGTCCTAGGTATCTTTTGGTTTTGGGTGCAATTGTAAATGGGATCAACTCCTTAATTTCTCTTTCTTCTGTCTCGTTGTTGGTGTATAGAAATTCAACTGATTTCTGTGCACTGATTTTATATCCTGCCACTTTACTGAATTCCTGTATGAGTTCTAGCAGTTTTGGGGTGGAGTCTTTTGGGCTTTCCACATAAAGTATCATATCATCTGCAAAGAGTGGGAGTTTGACTTCTTCGCCGATTCAGATGCCTTTTATTTCTTTTTGTCGTCTGATTGCTGAGGCACAGACAATTTCTTAAAAGTTTCCTCTTCCAGTTAATTGTCCATCTCTCCTGAATCCCTCCTACTTCTCTAACAATTTCTCTCTGTAACCTTTTAGATTGGATCTTCTTGTTGTAACAATTCCTTAGATAACTGATTTCCCCCATGTTCCTTCATTTGCTCTCTCTCAGTACCTTTTTACATGCTCTCCTCAGGGGTCAAGGTTCAGGGCAGAGTAGCTTGTGCCTGCTTGTACATGGGCACTCACCCAAGGGTGAGGGAGGGCTGTATAAGACTTGGGTATCCATAAGTCTGTGCTTGAAGAGCTACTTCAGACTACTCTCCCTAAATCCTCGCATCCATTCCATTGCTTTAGCTACCAATGCTATGCTGATCTTCAATAGTAAAACTCTCCTCTTCAACTCCAGCCTCATATTCTGAGCACCTATCAAACTATGTACTTGGTTATTTCCCAGTTTCTTCAACCTCAACGTATCCAAAACTTGTCTCATTGTTTTCTTCTCAACTTCATTCTTTATCCGGTATCTTTTATCCCCATGAATAGCATCATTTCCTACCACCTGACCAAACCTCTACCATCATCTTCCTGCACACTTCACTCTTCCCTTACCAGGAGCCAGTGAGACACCAAGTCTAAGCCATTCAGCCACCCCAAAGTCAACGGTATCTATCCCTTCCTTTCTATCCCCAGTTTTCATTTAGGATTTTACATCTCTGGCCTAGATTTTTATCAGCCAATTTGGCTTCTCTAACTTCAGTCTCTGCTTGAGGCAATGTGTTCTTTAAATAACTGACAGTTACTTCTTTGTTCAAAATCATGTCACTTCTTTTTTCAAAATTCCTTAAATGACTCTTAATACCTTTGAAACAAAGGTTCATCCTTCCTTCCTTTTTTTTTTGGTTTTTTTTTTTGCTAAAGGATATTTATTTATTGAGGTATAATTGACATTATAATGTTAAATTAGTTTCAGGTTGTGCAATATGATTCAACATTTATATACAGTGTGAAATGATCACCACCATCTGCCACCTTGCAAAGTTGATATAATATTATTGATTATATTCCCCATGCTGTACACTACATCCCCATGACTACTTTAATTTATAACTGGAAGTCTATACTTCTCAACTCCCTTCACCAATTTAGCCTCTCCCCAGGACTCCCCTCCCCTTCTTATCTTCCTAATTTAGTCTTGGCCTCATTTCCTGTCACTCTTCTCCAACATTATATTCAGTCAAAAATTTAGAATAATCTTCTCTTTTCTCTTCTGTTTACTTTTCCATCAGACTATGTGCTCCCTGAGGATGAATCTTGGCTTTCATCTTACACATAGTTCCACTGACTCTACCCACCGCCTAAACAGCCCTGCTACGTGTCCTCTCCACTCTATCCCCACTGTCACCCCTTTTGTTCAGATCCTTCATAACTTGTACTTAGACTACTGCAACAACCCCCTAACAAGTCTCTCTTTGCCTTGGTTCCAACTCATAGACAACATTAAAGAGTGAATGCAAAGTTAGCAAGTGGAAATGTGCTTAACATCTTTCAATGGCTTCCTCACTTCTTCTGAATAGCATCCAGATTCCTTAATTAGCAAGGTCAAGATGTTCTGACCCTTTCCTAACCCACTGGCCTCATCGCTTGTCACTCTTGCATTTGCAACCTCAGCTCTGTGTCAGTGATAATTAATTATATGTAGCTTCCTAAATGAACTAGTCTGTCACATAGCCAAGTCTCTGCAAATGCTAGTCTCTCTGCCTGAGAGAGTCAACTTTGCCTGGTTAGCTCATTTTCCATGATTATTCCAATCTGGGACAATCATCTCATCAGTGCTACCATAGTAACCTGTGTGTACTTCCACCACACTGTACAGTAATCATGTGTACTTTCTTGTCTTTCTCCCTTGACAGAGCCCTGGAGCTACACAACCACATGTGTGCATGTGTGCATATTTTAATCCCTTTATCCAAATACCTTAGAACAAGGCTTGATACATAGTAGATATTTTAAACATTTTTTCAGAACTAAAATTCCTTGGGGTTAAAGAGGCTACTGCTTTCTCTTTCTTCCAATTTCTCCTTACTACTATATAACATTCTTTAATGACAGATTTAATAAAACAATAGCCTCATTATAAACATTCAAAATCTTACTCCTTCTTTATTAATCCACTCACCACATACTTGCTCAGCATTCACTATCTGCCAAGCACATGCTATTTGCTGAAGACTCAAAATAAAGAAAAACAGACTTTACTTTAGTGGTGTGGAAAACACATTTAAAAAATCGATTTCAATACCATGTGGCAAGGGGACCACAGGACATAGAAGAGATGGTAGAGAAGCCCCTAAATATTCAAGAGACACCAAAGACTACTGCTTCAAAAGGAAGTACAGACTAAAAGGAAATCATAACATATGCAACAAAAGCAAATGTAATCCAAAGCCATGGTTCCTTGAATTGGTACAGCTAAAATTTTTCATTAGTGGTTAATTCATAATGCTTTATGAAGCAAGGGTACATCTGGAGACAGGCGACAGCAAGTCCCTCAGGGCCACTATGTAAAGTTCACAGCAGCCCTGCGGTCCTCACTGTCCATGTCACAAACACCATGGCAACAGACACTGTGTTCAAGGGCACAATGGCTCTCGCTGCTACTGAATTTCCTACGTTCTCAAATGCTGGGAGGTCTTTTCAACCTTTGCTACCATGGGGTTTTTCAAATTGTCTCTTCTAACAAAGTTTCCTGGTTCTTTTTTCTTTATTCCTTTCCACTACATGGGCAGAACACAATACCATCAGTGCTTGGAAATAGTCTATTTTCCTTACAATCGTGTTTTTGTCTTTCTTTGATAGGCAAGATTGTTTTCCTTCTTTGTGTCTTAAAAGTAACTTTATTGTCTGCTCATTTGTCCACTGCTTGTGTAAGAGCATTAATGCTCTGGAAGAGAAGTAAAACTTACATTAGTTAATGGGCTATAGAACGGATACAAAACAAATCCAGGTTATGTCTTTGCCTATTTCATAGGTAATAATTACAGTTTTGACAGATTTCAAAATATTGGATCAAGATTTTTATTGAGAAAGAACAATTTGCCCAGATACCTTCTATACTGCTAATATAATGTAGGGATATAAATTATGGTACTCACTGAACAACAAATATGATTGGGAAATGGCAGATAAAAAGCTTAATTTTTCTAACTCCTTAATATAGTAAAAATAGTAAGAAGTGGGGCACCTGGGTGGTACAGTCAGTTAAGTGTCCAACTCTTGGTTTCAGCTCAGGTTATGCTCTCAGGGTCGTGAGATTGAGCCCCAGGTGGGGCTGCGCACTCAGCGAGGAGTCTGCTTGGGATTCTCTCCCTCTCCCTCTGCCCCCTCCGCTCATGTGTTCTCTCTCTCTCTCAAAGTAAATAATCTTTAAAAAAAATAGTGAGTAGAGTTCTTCCAACATTATTAATATAAGGTTATTATTTACATTCAGATTAGGGACCAAATATTAGAGAAAAATTTTAGTATGTTTCTTTTTATAAAATAAATATATAACCACTTAACATAAAATCTGGAAAAGAAAAAACTCCTACATTATGGGTAATTTTCTTCGGAAAACATTCTTATTAAAGTGAACATCTATAGAAAAGCTTTCTGGATATACACTTATTTCTGTGTCTTAGTGGAAGGTCCATAATTATTGGTTAGTTTACAAGTGAGAAATTATCTACTTTCCTCCTTAAAAAGGAAAAGTGAACAAGAGAAAAATATTAGGAATTTTCAGGAAAAGGAAAGGAATATGTAGAAAAGAATGCACAGGATACATCCTCTTTGAACTACTGAAATAATTTAACAGGAAAGCAAAAGAGAGGATGAGTATTAGTTCATTTTGTTTTTCGTTTAGTGATATATTCATTTTATTTACCTGGAGTCTAGAGCATGTGCACATATAAAATATATTACCCTAATCACAGTAGTAGCTCTTCCAATTTTCAAGTGTCTTGGGAAAGAATTTAAAAGTTTACAATGCCTTAATAAAAGATGTGTCAACACTTCATTTGGCATCATCTGAATTGAACTTAGCAAATTACAAAAATAATTGAACATCAGTTTCATTGTGGAGTTAATTACCACAATGTAAGAGGAGATTTATTCATAAATGCAAAGCAATGATCTTACCTGAATGTTGTCATAGAACAGAACATCAGGCACTTTCATTTTCTCATGGGCATTATAGATCAGTGCACTAACAGCCCCAATCCTCAGGGATCCAGATGCTGTTTCACCTAAACATTTCACACAGGACGAAGAATTACTCATAGCACTGTGCTCAGAGAAGCCAAGTCCAATGTGAACATAACGCAACATAGCATCTTTAATATCTTATGGGCTCATTAAGGAATTTCAATTTAATATCTAAAAGAAGTAAGTTTGAAGGTGGTAATAAAACATAATAGCTCTACATAAAATGCCTAAAATGTTCTAAAAGATAACTAATTTTATATAAAATAATGCATGTCAGCAAACAACAGAGATACAATTAGAGAAGAACCCCAGAACTCCGTTAAGCCACCTCCATGAGCTTGTTTTGTCCGAGACTATAACACATAAAACAAACCAAATATACATTCAAAAGCTCTGAAGTACTCTGAATATCATTTTGGGGGACCCACCCATTGAAAAACTCCAAGTGAGAACCCCCTGGAATTCTAGTAAAAAATACTGATTAATCAACTACCCCAGACCTCGGAAATTATGATTTCCAGGGATGGTCTAGGAGATCTGTATTTTCAAATAAGCACCCCAGGTGTTACACAGCTATTCTGTGATGATTACTATTGTGTCATCTCCTATTTGCTTTAAACAGTTGGTCTAGAATAGAATATGAGCTCCTGACAGCCAGCAAACCCAATAATAAATCTGAAGTCAAGGAACACATCTCATATACATTCTCTCCATGGTTAATAATCATAACATTAATGGTAGTAGTTTTTATAATAGTACTGATGATCACAATAGAAACTATCATTTATTGAGGCCCTTCTATGGGCCAGATCTCAAATCAGAAGCTTCATTGTTTTCTCATATAATTTCATGTAATTCTCAACAATGAGACAAGAACTATGAGGAAGCTAAGGACATAAATTAAGTAATTTGCTTACAACCACCCAGCTAACATGGACAGAGCTAAAAATAGAACTTAGTATAGTCTAATATTCTTTCTGCCAAGTAGGGTATGTTTAATCCTTTGACTCCAAATAATACTCCATCCTGTGGAAATACCCGAGCAAGCAGACAGATTATCATGATGCCTTAAACAACTGACCCATCTACCACCTTCCCACCCTGCCACCCTTCAAATAAGAAAACTGCCCTTTTGTGCTAAAGCATTTTGAAAGACAAGTGGAGAAGAGCAACATTTGCGTTCTGCAGTACCACGAATGATTTTGAGCTAAAAATAATTAAACTGTCACCCTGTTTAATCAGTGTTCAGTGCTACACTTTTGCCAAAGCACAGGAGACCTCTCCCTCCAATAGATCCTTGCCATTTCCCTTTTATTAACAAGTTCCACAGGGAAGAAAACCTATAAGCTGTCATGCTGAGAATCTACTGTTTATTTACTACCAGCAGGGTCTCTGAAACAGACCCAATACAAAACTGTGCAGACAAAGACCAGGATTGTGGCAGGAATTTTACTATATGCTTGTATGTTAAGATGACAAACAAAATTTCAGATTCAAGTAGCATCTGATACCATCTATGGTTTAGTTTATGGAACACATCTGTTCAGTAGATTTAGGGCTTCAGGACAATTTAATTCACTCATCTAATGTTTATTGTTAAAATCTCAAGCTTGAAAAGGGAAATGCACTCAGAGGATGGTGATGCTTGTACTTCCCTGGGGGAAACCCGCTAGCTGTCTGCTAAGAAATCTCATAGGATGGCAGTATTTTAGTCCATTCATCAAGGTTCTTAGTCTGGTATACTCAAAACCTAATTTTGTTATGTCAACTGACCACAAACCTGACTCTCAGGAGAATATTAAAGACATATATTCTGATCTATATATAAATTCTGATATATAAAACAAGACTTGAAAATATTACAGTGTAATGAAAGCTGCGCCTTTCATATGGACCCTATGATACACTGGTTGCCATGCCAGCATATTATCTGGAGGGAGAACTACACAGAAAGCTAAATCCTCATCAGGTTATTTGGTGAACCTTGTCCTCTGAACAAGGAGAGTACATTAAATGAATTCTCCTCAAGAGATAAAGGGAACCAGATGAGTCAACAGTCTCTTGGGTTCCTTATCCCCTACGCCAGGCTTAGATGGGAACTGCTGACACTGGCCCATTACCAAGACTGAAAAATCTATTGTCAGAACAACTCAGTTCGTCTTTGGATATGTTAAGAGATTCAGTCAAGTAACATTACAAGTTTGACTTGTAATGTTCTGTCTCTTTGAACTGGCTCCAGAGTTGTTCTGTCTCTTTGACTTGGCTCTGCATATCTGGACCCAGATCCATCAGTAGGTAGAATTTTTAATTTTACTCTTAAAAAAGTCATCTCAGGGACACCTGGGTGGCTCACTTGGTTAAGCGGCTGCCTTTGGCTTGGGTCATGATCCCAGGGCCCTGGGATCGAGCCCCACGTCTGGCTCCCTGCTCGGCGGGGAGCCTGCTTCTCCCTCTGCCTGCTGCTATGCCTACTTGTGCTCTCTGTCTCTCTGTCAAATAAATAAATAAAATCTTTAAAAAAAGTCATGTCATTTAACACCAAATTCTTGTCTCAGTAGCCCCAACTATTAAAAACACCTACCACAAAGAGAGCTACAATAAGTGCTCATTAGAGAGGGGGTCCCACATTGGATTTTTGATAGAATAGGATTTTTGATAGAATAGGTACTTATCTCAAAAAGTAGAGAAACTTTCGTTGTGCTCTAATTGAAGAATAAGGAACTTCTATAGGAAGAGCTAAACCATCCCAAAGTTCAAAATACGTATGGTTATCCAGAAGAAAAGTACCACAAAAGACAATATGAATAGAAATGGAAGGAGTAAGAAGGCATGAAATGGTACTTTGAATATTATTTTATTTTACATCAACCTAGAACAGTTTCCTGAACATATCCCACAGAACTAGTGGTCCTCAAAATGTAAATGTTTTGCAAAGAAAGCAGAATTCTAGATTCTATGGTGACATATATTTGGGAAAAAAAAAAAGGTAAAACCAAATCATTCAAGTTTCTTTAGAGCAGGAATTCTCAGAGCCTTGAATATGTTTGTGTCAATTGTGACTCTTTGGAGGAGGACCTGTATCTGGTATGCACTGAAATAAAGGAAATATTCTTTTTTTTTTTTTAAGATTTGAGAGAGAGTGTGCGCGCACATGCACGAGCATGGGGGAGGGGTAGTGGGAGAGGGGAAGCAGACTCCCCGCTAAGTAGGGATGATCCCAGGACCCCGAGATCATGATCTGAGCTGAAGGCAGATGCTTAGCCAACTGAGTCACCCAGGCAAATAAAGGAAATATTCTAAGATTTAATTTGTAAGTGGGTTTCAATTTAAAAATTAATAAATAAAAGATTGATTTCTTCAACCCAATACATAAAATAAAGTAGATGGAAAACAAAACCACTTTTTATTGATATTAAAATAATCATACAAATGTTTGATAATAATTATTTCACTAAAAAAAGAAACAAGTCAAATACTTACATTTGTAATCCTCCAGTTTTGGTTCCTGATGATTATCAGTACTTACTTCTATTGCAGCATCTGCCAGGTTTTTTTCTAATGCTGACCTTGCAAGGTTTGGTAAGAACCTGATAGGACCGGGAGGACAGAATGATAAAGTCAAAGCTTTCTGTGATTTCTAAATATCTTTTGGCACGTACACACACAAACTCTCTCTCTCTTTCTCTCCTTCTTCCTCTCTTTCTATCTCAAGACAACCAATTAAGGAAGCTCAGTCTTGAGCTGTGAAATCCAAATAATAAAAAATTTTGAAATAAATATAAACTTCAAGTACCTGTGAAGATGAATATCTGTTTATCTCCTTTAATAAAACTTACATGTAATTAGCAGTATTCACGTATATACAACATTTTACAGGACAAGACTTAAAATGATTTACTTTTTAAAATGGATTTAGTATACTTAACAAATCTTGTTTAATTGTTTAACTGGATTATCAAATTTTCTTAAATAGATAAAATAACACCTTAACTGGCTCCAACTTGGCAATTAGAAATTCAAATTAGTGGAAGTGGATTAATGATGTTTGCTTTCTAACACAAATTATTCAATTTAGGATTATACAGCTTGGCCTTTCCTTCCATTTAAAAAATATACCTGCCTGTCTTCTATACATATGCTGCCAAAGCAACAATCTGGTGAGTGACAGAGGCATTCTTCATTTACAAATAGATGGTATGAACATCATGGGCTTAATGAAAATGGAGTTTCCTACCCACACAAATAAAATTGTATCTGGAATTTACGATCCCAAGTGAGCCCACAGAAATGATTTTTAACCTATTACCTGTGCTATACTACTATAAACTAACCACTACGTGCCACGATAAACATACTAAGAACATCACACTTCTAACTTGGGTTTTCCATAGCTCTAAATCCTTTGTGGTGGATTAGAATCAGCCTTGAGTATAAGCTCTAATAAAAGAGATGCTGGTGTAAGCAAAAAGGCAAATGAATGAGCGTGTGAGGAACTGATGGATTTCCTCTCTGTAATAGAATTTACGTAGCTGACCCTATCTCCCAACTACCTCCTCATTTTGGTTCCAGGCTATGATGGGGGGATTTATATCACTCTGGGTCAGGAGCTCAACAGTTAAGCATCAAGTAAGACTTACTGTTGTTCATCTCTGACCTTTCATCATAGTTCTTAGATTGTTGCCTTGTTTAAAACCAAGGCCTCACTTTATGTCTCAGACCCAATAACTGGACTTTTAGCTTGTTTCCTGAGCCCTTGTCTTGGCACCATGCCCGCCCGACCTGCCTCTCTCCACTATACCATAAACTAGAGTCTGGCCTGGTGACAGCAGGCTCTGCAGCTGCATCTCCATTACTTCCTGTCAGACTACCTTGATTGACAATAACCACGTTCAAGCTTAGGCTGTGTGCTATTCCCAGAAACCCCTTACATCTATATAGTCTGCTCTCAACACATCCTCATTTGCCCCCATATTGGAACATTTCTAGATTGTCCTCCAAAGCCTATAGAGAACTGCAAAAAAGGCATGTATGCTTCCCTTCCAATGTCAGTGACAGACACTGCTTGCCAATGTGATACTCTTTTCTACTGAGATTGAACATGTTTCAGAATTATTTTCAACCTCACACCCAGACAGCACTACCAAATAATCAGAAGTAGTATGGAAGTTGAAATATATTTACCTCTAGAATTTATATTTTAAAAGATACTGACTCACCCCACAAATGACAAGAAAGTATGTCAGGTAGTATGAGGTCAACCTTAATTTTTTCTAGGTTTCAATTTTTTCTAGTTAATGGCTTCTTTTTCCATTGCTCACTGATATTTTCTACTTGCTTTTTCCTCTCCTTCTGTGGCCTTTTGTAAAATAAGTGAGTAAATGAATGAAATATCGCTCTATCTATCCTACTTTCCTAGAACACAAACAAATACATATCCTACTGTAAAGTTTTCAAGGGTATTTATCATCATGAGCATCATAGTGCCTTTTAAAAATCATTATCATCATTATATTCATTTACTACCAGCAAAAATAGAATTGGAAAGTCTCCAGTCTCTATGGTCTTGGTTGTAACAAAAAACTAAAGAAAGATTTAACCATATTATGGGAAACACAGAAACAGAAGTAGTTACCCTAAGCCAACTCAAATAACTGTGTCATTGTCACAGAAGTGAGATACGATCTTTGGATTAAAGAATAAGATAGGATTTCTCAAGATGGTAGCATGAGAAGCTAGAGTAAGGATAGGAGATGCTCCCAAATTACCAGTGCTGGGAAGATGGGTGTTGCTATTAGTAGTAAGAGTGGGAGAAAAGACTGTGGGTCTCAGGGATTATCGGACAGCCTTTGACTTCTATTTAGAGTGTATAATTACTTAATTAATTGATTGATACCTGTGATTTTAAGTCTTAAGTTTATAAACAGCACTGGAATATTTAAGACAACTTATGGCTCATCCTATTTATAAAGTTTATTATATTTGTGAGTAATTTACTTTTCCGGGAAGGTTTTATTTGTTAATTCAGACATGTGAAGTACTTAAAAGGAAATAGGGCATATAAAATTTTTTAACAAATTTCAGAAGATGCTTAATGTAACCAAGATATCTGGAAGATAAATGGAACCAAACATTTTTCAAAGCCCCATTAAAATAATTCAGATCTGCCAGACTTATAAAGTAAGCTGAATAACAGAAAAACCTAAAGAAGATCTAGGTTTCTTAAATTATAGCCTTAAAACACTGAACAGTAATGTTTTTTTTAAAGTAGATGTCATTAATTTTATGTCACAAGGGAATTCTTGAAAAATATTGTATTTTGGTGAATGGGAAAACGTCTCCATTACCTCAATGTCAGAGACAGTTAATCTTCATTTCTAATTCTTAATACCTCTGCCTCAAATTTCTATGCTAAAGGATCGTCACTCCAAGATTTTCTGTAAGTAAATACTGTAATGGAATGCAAAATACTTGAGCGGAATAGAACTCATTCCAGGAACTTCTAGTTAATGCTTCTATAATAAAAGAACTTTTGGAACATAAAATATCTGATAACTTCCTCATCTTGTAAAATCTTTCTTCCCTTTGGTTTCTTAGGTTTTCAACTATCCAGAAAATGAATTATACATCTAGCTCCAAGACTTGGTGTACATATTTTGGATATGAGGATGAGGTACTAGGGAACCATTCCCTCAGATGAAGAAATGTTCCAGTCTGAACTTAACTGGCATAAACAAATAAATGAAAAGTATTTTAAAATTAAATTAATAAGACTTTTAAAAGCCAAGCTAATATTCAATAAATTTAATGTTTAACAAACTAACACTAGAGAATTTCTTTTGATTTTGTTTGCTAAAGAATAGACGTCATGAATATAAACTATTCATTTAAAAAAACTTTTGTGAAATTCAATTTTCTTTTCACTGCTTCAATATGGAATGAGGTCATTAAAAAAAGAAAAAAAAACTTTATGCAGCAATAGATTTTTTTTCCTTTCTGTGATTGTGCTATCATGAATAGAAGGTTAGTAAAAAAGGTTTTTGAGTTTGTAGGCTTGCTAAAGTCAACAGATAATGCATAAACAAGATAGCTGTTTCACTTTTTGCGAAGTGTAATAGGGTGGTAACAAAACAGGGTTTAATGTGGTCAGTTGATAACACTGGAAAAGTTAGCTATTTAATTCAGTGAAATATTTATGAGTATGAAAAGGAAGTAATTTTAAGTTTTTAAATTTTTTTAAACTATGAAATATTTCAAGCACATAGAAAATTATAGAGACTATTAAGCATTCTATTAATCTCTCTCCATTCCTGGGTAATTCTCACCCTAAACTGGTGTGTATTTCTCCTGTCCATATTTTTATTCTGCTATACATGTATGAATTAAAAATATATTGCATTGGGGCACCTGGGTGACTCAGTCGTTTAAGCATCTGCCTTTGGCTCAGGTCATGATCCCAGAGTCCTGGGATCGAGTCCCGCATTGTGCTACCCGCTCAATGGGGAGTCTGTTTCTCCCTCTCCTTTGCCCCTCCCCCTCCACTTGTGCTCTGTTTCTCACTTTCTCTCTCTCAAATAAATAAAATCTTTAAAAAATATATATATATATATATTGCATTTTTGTTGTATTTAACATTTTCATAAATGGCAATAATACCAAATCTCCTCTTGCAAATTGTTTTTCTACTTGATATTAAACTGTCATGATTGATACACACAGATCTACTTCATTTTAATGACTGTTTAGTATCACATTATATAAATATGTCAATGTATAGTCATTCCCTACTGTTTCCAATTTTTCATTGTTACAAACAATGATGCCATGAACATTCTTACACATGCCTCCTTATCCATTCATTTAAGTCTTTCTCTGAGGTGATATCAAGAAACAGAATTGTCAAATCAAAGAGTATTAATATACTTAGGCATAAAGATACTGTGAGATAACCACAAAGTGATGAGACTTCCATTCCAACAGCAGTAATATAATTCCATTTTCTTTTATTCACAAAAAATGTTAATTTTTACAGGTAAAAATTATAAAAGTATGAAATGATAGCTGATTATTGTTTTAAATCTCATTTTCCTGATTAATAATGAAATTGAGCATCTTTTCAAATGTTTGTTGGTCATCTGAATTAACTTGTATGCATGCCTATTCATCCTTTGCCCATTTAGTGTTGATTCTTTCATTTCAATAATTTGTATACTTTACAGTCCCTGAATACTAATCCTTTTGTGATTACAAGTCTTATCAAACATTTCTTAGTTTGTGGCTTGTAACTTGTAGAGTAGCTTATAGTGTTTCTGTCATCTATCTGGATTTTACTTTTTTTGTATGGGATAAAATGGATATTTTTTATTTTTAATCATTTATTGACAAGTCCTTCCATTCCCATACTGATTTATAATGCTACTTTTGATATATACTAACTCCCTACAGATGTGTGGGGTCTGTTTCTGGTCTTTGTAGTCTATTCTAATAGACTATTTGTCTTTTCTTGCACCAATATCGTACTGTAACAATGAGTACAGCTTTATGATAGATCCTGATTATCTGATAGAAAAAGTACAACTCCTTAATCTTCTTCAAAATTTCCTTTGCTATTTTTTCCATGCCAATTTTGAGATCAGCTTGTCAAATTCTGTATAACCTTAGTAGTATTTGATTAGATCATATCTATAGAGAATTTGGAGTAGAACAGCTTTACAATACTGAAGCTTCCCTTCCATGAACATGGTATAGCTTTCCTTTTATTTAAGTCCTTTACAACTTTCAATAAAGATTTATGCTTTTCTCCATAAAAGTGTTATATGTCATTAGATTTACTCTTAGGTGCTCAAAGCTTCCTACTATTATTCTGAATGGGATTATTTTTAAAAATAATTAGACTTCCTCAATTGACTTTTAGTAGTATATAGGAATGTCACTGATTTGGATTTATAAGTAATCTCACTAAACTCTATTTTTCTAAATGACTTATATATAATTTCTATTGAATTTTTTACATAGTCAATCAGATAACTTTGAGCAAATGCACTGGCTGAAAGTACAAAAAGGTGACATTCTTGTTCTGTTCCTAACTCTAAAGGAAATATGAGTATTTAACATAAAGATGTTTGCTCTAAATTTTTGGTATATACCCCTTATCAGATTGAAGAATATTCCTTCTCTCCATGGTTTACTATGAATATTCCTGGTTTTCTAAGAATTTGGTTTGTTTTTAGGTTTGGTTGCTGGGTTTTATCAAATCCTTTTTATTCATTCAAAAAAATTTTTTTTCTAATATGTTAATATAGTGAACTAAAAAATAGAATATTAAACTTTCTTCACATTCTTTTTTTTTTTTTTTAAAGATTTTATTTATTTATTTGACAGAGAGAGACAGCAAGAGAGGGAACACAAGCAGGGGGAGTGGGAGAGGGAGAAGCAGGCTTCCCACGGAGCAGGGAGCCCGATGCGGGGCTCGATCCCAGGACCCTGGGATCATGACCTGAGCCAAAGGCAGACGCTTAACAACTGAGCCACCCAGGCGCCCCTTTCTTCACATTCTTGAGATAATTCAAAATTGCTCATGATTTTAAAAAGATATATATATATATAGTTAGATTATTTCATGATTTGTAATTTTCCTTTCATACATTATTCTTGTTGGGTTCAGGTATCAAAATTATACTAGACACAAAGTGGATTGCAGTTTTCACTGTCTGTCTACTCTTTGGAACAGTTTATAGAATGCTTTGAGTATGACTATTTCATTCTAATATTCAAAATATTATTTCCCCTTAGGCTCCAAAACTGTTTACATTGCTTAGTATTAACTATTTATTTCTATTAACACATATCTATACCCAAGTTCTGACTAAGAAAATACTGGGTAGGTAATGAATCTCTCTCTCTGTCTATATTTTTTTCAGTTCATGACCCTGAAAAATAAGCAATTGAAGCATTTTCTTTTCTAATTTTCATTTGGAAGCCCAATATTTTTCTACTTAAAAGAAAAGAAGGGCGCCTGGGTGGTTCAGTTGGTTAAGCGACTGCCTTCGGCTCAGGTCATGATCCTGGAGTCCCTGGATCGAGTCCCGCATCGGGCTCTCTGCTCAGCAGGGAGTCTGCTTCTCCCTCTGACCCTCCCCCCTCTCATGTGCTCTCTCTCATTCTCTTTCTCTCAAATAAATAAATAAAATCTTAAAAAAAAAAAGAAAAGAAGAACCAATTTCATTATTTCTCATAATTATCAGTTTTTTAAGGGGCGCCTGGGTGGCTCAGTTCGTTGGGCGGCTGCCTTCGGCTTGGGTCATGATCCCGGAGTCCCGGGATCGAGTCCCGCATCAGGCTCTCTGCTCGGTGGGGAGTCTGCTTCTCCCTCTGACCCTACCCCCTCTTGTGCTCTCTCTTTCACTCTCTCTCTCTCTCAAAAAAAATAAAATTAAAAAAAAAATTATCAGTTTTTTAAAAAATTATTCTAAAGACACTGGAAAGGAGCCTCATTTTAGCTGGATACACCATAAGGAGAACAAATTTAAGTTGCAACACAGGAAGCTTACTTTCACTGTAAGAAAAATTGTCATCTAAACTGGAGATTGATAGAGGGCAATTACAGATTCTCCTAAGCTGAAAACAGGTTCTTTTAATTCCTTTTTTATATCAAGGAATGAATGGGACAATAGTCATAACCACCACAAAAATAATTGCCAGATCATATGAAAAGAGTCTAAAAGAAATCTCTGGGCTTCTTGGGTATTGTTACTAATCCCTATTATTCTTTATTTTTAAAAAGATTTTTTATTTATTCATTTGAGAGAGAGAGAGTGAGATCACAAGCACGAGCAGTGGGGAGGGTCAGAGGTAGAGGGAGAAGTAGACACCCCACTAAGCAAGGAGCCCGACGCGGGGCTCCATCCCAGGACCCTGGGATCATGACCTGAGCTGAAGGCAGATGCTTAACTGACTGAGCCACCCAGGCACCCCCCCTTTTTATTACTCTTTTTTTTTTTTTTTAATATTTTTATTTATTTATTTGAGAGAGCGAATGAGAGACAGAGAACATGAGAGGGGGGAGGGTCAGAGGGAGAAGCAGACTCCCTGCCGAGCAGGGAGCCCGATGCGGGACTCGATCCTGGGACTCCAGGATCATGACCTGAGCCGAAGGCAGTCGCTTAACCAACTGAGCCACCCAGGCGTCCCACTTTTTATTACTCTTAAAATAGTTTCATGCAAGTGTGATTTTGTAAGAAAATTCTATAAGCCAGTATTTTATAATAATTTCCAAACAAGTATAAAAAATATTAGTTTTGTTAAATTTAGGCAACAGAACAGTACTATCAAGCATGGAAAGTTCCAAGGCCAATTTGGGAAGTGCTTAGTGTAATGGTGAAGAGCACTAGCTGAGAAGACACATACACCAGCGTTCAAATCCCAAACCCACTTTTACTTATTTACTACTCTCTGACTTAGGCAAGTGACTTAAACAGTTTTCTCACCCACAAAATAGCCCTTAAAATTGTTGTTATGCCTAAGTAGGATAAAATGGGTTCTAAGTGAACATGAGGTTGAAATAGCTACATATTCAGGCAATACTTTCTCCAGACCTTGGGTACTATTAATTAAACATCTGTTACTGTTTTAGCAAAGACCCAGAAACTTGAATTCAGTGAGAAAGGCGAACGTGGTTACCTGGAAAGGCAGGCTTTCATAACTGCACTGTGAAGATTTTCATTAGGGTACTGTGACAGCCGACGAGAAATCCGCAACAGCTGTCTGGTAGAAAGTGATGCGGCCAGTGACTGTGCCTATCAAAAGGCAAAGACAGCCTGTTAAGAGCTTTGTTTCCACTTGCTGAGAGTCCCTTTAGATGGGATCAGAGCAGAATTCATTATTCCTGAAGGACAAGGCCAAACTTCAAATACATAAGTACTGTTAATGAATTACAAATAAAAATAAAGGAAAACCAATTTACACTTAAGGCATCCTTAAAGATAGTTTTTTAAAAGAATCTATAAAAAGTGTTTATCAGTTAAATTCAATAAAAGCGTTTTTACTGTGCTAAGTGCTGTGCATACATGTTTTTTGGGTGGAGGGGAGAAGAGGTTGGATGGAGGAAAGATGTTACATAATACAGGCCACACCTGACTTACAAATAGCTTTTATGTACAAGTAACTATTTGTTCTTTTTTTTCCCCTGCCTACACAAAGCTGAACTGTTCAGATAGCCCGAAAATGCTTAGAGCTTTAGGTAAATCTATGGCTTCTGAAATGGAGAAAAGGAATTGTGGATAATTTAGGTTGCTGACCACAGAGGTGTCAACCAGTTTGTCCCTTGGGTGGCAGCTTGCAGTTTGAAATCCTTCGCTTATAATGCCAGAAGAATTTCACTTTGTTTTCTTATTCTTCAAAAAAAATAAGAAATCCCATTAATAGAGCTGCTAGTACAGAACTGGGATATGTGAGTACCAGTAAATATTTGTTAACGTGATTTTGAAATTATCTTAGTGGGCAGCGTAATGCAATGACTGATAAAGTTTATCAGCTTTGGAATCAGACAAATCAGGCTCTCATGTATTAGCCTGGTGGATTATTCAACATCTTCAAGCCTTGGTTTTCTCATCTTGAAGTTGGTGACAATAATGCCTTCACATTTAAGGTTGTTATGAGGGTTAGTATCCACTATCTATAAAGAACTTACCAAACTCAACACCTAAAATAAAAATAATCCAGTTAAAAAATGGGCAGATGACATGAATAGACATTTTTCCAAAGACATCCAGATGGCTAACAGACACATGAAAAAATGTTCAACATCACTCATCATCAGGGAAATACAAATCAAAAGCATGATGAGATAGCACCTCACACCTGTCAGAACAGCTAAAATTAACAATACAGAAAACAATAATTGTTGGCGGGTATGCAGGGAGGGGGGAACCCTCTTATACTATTGGTGGGAATGCAAACTGGTGCAGACACTGGAAAACAGTATGAAGGTTCCTCAAAAAGTTAAAAATAGAACTACTCTCCAATCCAGCAATTGCACTACTAGGTATTTACCCAAAGGACACAAAAATCCTGATTCAAAGGGATACATGCACCCTGATGTTTATAGTACAGTGTCATTATCAACAACAGCCAAATTATGAAAAGAACCCCAATGTTCATTGACTGATGAATGGATAAAGAAGATATGGTATATACATACAACAGAATATTACTCAGCCATAACAAAGAATTAAATTTTGCCATTTGCAGTAACATGGATGGAGCTACAGAATATTATGCAAAATAAGTCAGTCAGAGAAAGACAAATACCATATGATTTCACTCATATGTGGAATGTAAGAAACAAAACAGGTGAACATAGTGGGGAAAAAAGAGAGGCAAACCAGAAAAGAGACTTTATAACTATAGAGAACAAACTGAGAGGTGCTGGAGGGGAAGTGGATGGAGGGTGGATAAATAGGTGATGAGGATTAAGGAGTGCACTTGTGAGGAGCACTGGGCATTGTATGTACGTGATGGATCACTTAAATTCTACATCTGAAACTAATATTACACTGTATGTTAACTGACTGGAATTAAAAACTTGAAACTAGAAAAGAAGAGAGAGAAAAGAAAATTGTTCTAAAGCACTTAGCAGAGGTCAGACACATGGGTGCTCAACAAATGTCAGCAATTATTGTTAAAAGTCAGCCTCTTCAAAATGAAAAAAAAATCTAACACAGGAAGGGCATGCGACCTGCACTTCAGTATGAATTTAATGCATCAGATTATTATTGGATTAATTTCTAATTTAGATCAGCAGCACTAGGAGACAGCAGTTTTCATTGAAAACCAGGTGAGAGAAGAACTTTTGGAGCAACTAGCCCTTTGCAGGGGTGGGCAGAAGAGGCCAGGAGGAAATGTCACAGGGGTAATGGGGGCAATACAGTGGTCCTGAGCCCCTAAGGGAACACAGAGGAGGACTCCATGAAGTTAGCAGAGGGTTCAGGATGGATGGTGGGAGGGTGCCAGGATGCCAGAGACACACTGCCTATTGGCTTGTTTCAGCATTTCACTTAAGCTGATCTTGGTAGGTCCCAAGGAAGAACAAAGGGCAGGGATTTCTCCTCCTGTGTGTATTTTGCGTCTCCATGAGATGCTGGTGTGCTGTGCTATTATATCTCAGCTACAACATAGGTTAAATGGTCCTTTGGGGACTAGATTGGGAGCATGATCACCATTTATGATGTATCCCTTTTTCTATTAAAAAACACATTCTATGTCTCAAAGAACTCATAAGCAAACATTTGGTTCATCCTTGTTTTCAACAAATTTGCATTCTAGACATGGAGACAATATTTAAATATAAGAAAGTATAAACTGCAATTCAAAATAGCATATAATTTAATGCCAAAATAAGTGAAGCACTTGACAACTGTTAGAGGGGCTAAAATGAAAATATTCAAGTGGGCACAAGAAATGCTATGAACAAAGGCATGAGAGCAAAAGGAACAGAAATAGATGCAGAAATGTGAGGAAATCAGCCCAGCTTTACTAGAGGATCTTGCTGGAAAACTTGCTCCTAAGTAACAAAGACCTGGGACTAACACTTGGAGGAGTCTGGCCTTACTCCTAAAGGCAATGGGACTTTGTTATGTGCAAAGTGGTAATACGATTTTAGAAAGATTAATCTGGTGGTAGCATGCAAAGTAGCTGAAGGACAGAGAGAACTGAGACAGGAAACAGAAAGCTACTGCAATGATCTGTCTATAAAACGATAAGGTACAGTAAGATTACTGGCAAAAAAGGCAAAAAAGAGTGGAGAGAAGGAATCAACAAATATTTCAGAGAACTTGGCCCCTGATGGATATGAGAAAGAAGGCAGAATTGAGGATAAGATTAAGGTTATTTGAGCCAGTATAATTTAAAGTATCAGATGCTAAATATGACTCAGCAATTCCCATTCTGAATATGTGGGCCCACGAAAAATTCCTATTTTAATCATGGAAAATGTTTGACAAATGATTCCAACCTGAAGATTCTCATCCTAATAAGCCATACCGTAACTTCCTCATGTACAATATTCTAATCTCATCCAAGAATGACACTGAATTCAGGCTTTACATTTCATTCCAGTTATCAGTAAGGACGTCTTGCGAATTTGACAATATCAGCTTTCTCAGTTGCTAACATCAAAATGCTTTACAATAACATCCAGTGTTAAAAAAAATCAGAACAAAGCTTTACATTGAGCCATTTAAATGTTGAATAAAGGGTTTGCTTATTTCTGCTCTTGCGTTATCAATTAAAAATTCAGAATGCACTTTACTTAAATTCCTAATGTGTTTAACGTTTATAACATTAAATTTCTAACTGCACTTTTATCTTGCAAAAAAGAGTATGAGGATATGAGCACATTCCCTTAGTTACCATGGTTATGGAGTTTAAGCGCCCACCTCAAGGGGTTTCTTGTATTGGCATTATTAGTAGTAGTAATTCAGCTTAAAAATATGAAGGATCTGATCAGAAATTTTTTTCAATAAACCTTCTCTTTTTCCTCTTAACACATTATTTCTTTTATGAAAACATACTGTTTTCAGGGAGAGAAAACGCTAGGGACAATGTGTTAATAAATTAGTACTTAATTAATCAATCACTTTATTCATTCATCCACCAAACATTTGTTAAGTGTCTCTTATGGGCCCGGCACCAGGCTGGAAAAACGAGAAAGAAGAATAAACCACACTATTCAAGGAGTTCAAATACTAATTGAGGAGATGAAAATAAACCTGTGATACAGCGACCACAGGTCCATAACAGAATCGTAAGTCAAGTGTCATGAGAGCAGGTTGGAGATAGAGGTTACTTCTGTCTGAGGGGCTGAGAGAGATCTGACAGGGGACAGGGAGAAAGCACATTCTGGCGGTGTCATAGGAAGCTGGGGCATCTGGGTATGTGCCGGGCTTAGCAAGCAGGAAGAAGAGAAGTGCGGGAGGGCTGAGGGTGCTTCAGGAGAAGCCGTAAGAAAGTGAGGCTAGAAAGGCAACGTACAGTCAGACAGAACTGGGCAGGCATGCTTATTTAGCAGGCTGTCCTTCAGTCCGTAAGCAGAGATTTCATCCCTTAACAGTTTAATGATGGGGAGAACTTAGGAGCTGGATTTGGGAAAGGCCACTCCAGAGATACTATGGATGAGTCATTCATTCATTTACTTAACAGACATTTGTTGACCGTCTACTACATAGCAGGCAAAATTCCAGATGCTGCGGATACAGCGGGGACCCAAGCAAAAACCCCTGCTATCCTGGAACTTAAACTTGAGTGAGGGAAAATAAGCAATTAAAAAAAGTGAATAAAACATATATTATGTCAAAGGGTAATAAGCCTTATGAAGAACTTTAAAGCAGAAAGAGAGGAATGAAATGGGGGCTAAATGTGATTCTAAATGGAGTGCTTCAGGTAGGCCTTGTTGAAAAGGTGACATCCGAGCAAATCCAAATGGGGGAGTTTGAATTGCAGTTATCCGGGGTAGAAAATCTAAGTGGAGGAAACACTGAGTGCCAAGGGCCCTGAGGCAGACATGAGTGGGTTTAAGGAAAAAGAAAGAGAATGGTGTAGCTGAGAAGAACAAGTAAGGGACAAATTGGAGATGAAGTTATTAATCCCTGGGGTTTAGGGAGTCTGTGACAACTGGAAAATGGTCCCCTCCCCAAAGATATCCACATCCTAATCCCTGGAACCTATGAGTTTTACCTCATATGACAAAGTTAACTTTGCAGACCACGTTAAAGATTTTGAAAAGAAGAGAGCATTCTGGATTATTTGTGTGGCCCCTAAATGCAAGCGCACATATCCTTGTAAAAGGGAGGCAGAGAGAGGTCTGAACAGACACATGGAAGAGAAGGTGATGTGAAGATGGAGGCAGAGATTAAGATAATGAGGCCACAAGTCAAGGAATGCTGGCAGCCACTGGAACCTGGAAAAGGCGAGGGACAGATTCTTCCCTTTAGCCCTTGAGGGAGTGCTGCGGATACCTCGACTTGGATGCAGTAATATGCACTCCAAACTTCTGGCATCCAGAAAGGTGAGAAAATAAACTTCTGTTGTTATAAACCAGCAGTTTATGGTAATTTGTTACAACAGGCCCAGGAAAGTAATCCAGGGCCACATGAGGAATGAACTGTTGCTGGTGAGGGCAGTCAAAAGGAAAGGGCAATATTCCAGGAGAAAGATTATGAAACCAAATACCAGGACAATTACTGGCAATAGGTAAGAGAATGGATGAGACATCATGATGCTAAATTGATGAGATTTGCTTTCGGGTTAAGTGGAGATCATGGGAAGGCAAGGAGACAGATTATTAACACAGCCAGAAAATTAAATAAGAAATACGAATAGATTTAAAGGGGAAAGACAGTTTAGTGGTACAAGATATGTTGTATTTATAGTGATCCCAGAGTATCCAATTGGGAAGTGAAGGAAACTACCATTTATTAAGCAGCTACTAAGGAAGAGATTCTTCACACACATTTTCATGTTTAATCATCACAACCTCCTTATGAAGTAGATAGCACTTGCATTTTAGAGATGAGAACACTGAGATTCACAGTTGGTGACAGCCCTTGATCCTTTCAACAGATGCAGTGGCTTCCAACTTTTTAAACATCAAGTCCCTCTTTTTTATTCCCCATGTGCCCTGTGTTTTAAAAGACTTCGCTTACCAAACTGCATGTATTAAAGAAGAGTTAGTTCTTTATGTTTTGCTATCCAAATGCATGTATGTATAATCACCAATCATGTTTCAGATTGGCATGATACAACCAGGCTTTGGTATTAAAATTCCAGCTCAAAGCAAGTAACATTTTTGTTAGTCCTTTCATCCCTTTGTGCACAAATACATAATTTGCCTTGGTCTATTTGAAATATTAATTATTGCTTGAAAACCTCAGATTAAAAACTAACCTTTTTATTTCACCCCTAATAGAGCATGAATTATATTGAGTATATTGGACTTTGACAGCAGGGGGAACTTTTTGTTATAGTGCAAAAGTGTTTTCAACTGTGAATGCTAAAATAAAAGTTATGCAAGAAATTTTAAAAAGGGCAGGGGGGCAGGATATGCCACCCCAAAACATGCCATTTTGACATATTTATTACTTTGAATTAAAGTTACATAAGAAACAGCCAGTACAAGGAGGACATTCTGACCCTCCTTTGTCCCCCGAAAGCAGGAAATAAATCTCCCCTATGAAAGGCATCCTTTCTGTCCCAGGAGGGTAGAAGGCTTCCTTAGCACCAGCAATAGGGAACATGGGGCCAAGATGGCAATATAAACAAACTTTGTTATCTCATCACTAATTTGCTACCTCAAGCCCAAACTTCTTTGTCTTGTCAATTCTTTACAAATTTATTGTTTGTCTAAAAGGTATAAAAGCTGTCTGCTTTGATCACTGCTTTAAGTATAATATTTTTATGGGGCCCGTGTATATATGGAATTAAATTGGGTTTTCTCCTGTTAAGTCTGTCTTGTGTGAATTTAATCGTTAGGCCAGCCAAAGAACCTAGAAGGAGGGAAGGGAAAAGTTTTCTGCCCCTACACCATCCCAGGATGGAAATACAATTAGAAACAGAGAATCAATGAGAAAAGAGAAGTTAGAAGCTGAAGAGAAAGAGGTCAGCGTTAATAGAAGAGGTCACACTTGGACTAGATGAGATTGCTCAGCACAGGAGATTGGGGGCCAGAATTGAACCCCCAGGATCACCAAGCTCGAAAGCTAGTTTTCTTTCTTCTATGAGACCAGCCATGAATAGCTGGAGTCAATGTTCAAATCACTGAAAGAGTAAAATATATATGCACAGGGCAAAGCACAGCATAAGAGATAAAAATACCAGCTTGAAAAATAGATTTTAAAGCATTAAACTCTGAGAACTTAAAGCAGCAGCATGTCAACAACAAAAAATCCTACGGGAAAAAGCCCAGACTTACCGTGGGATCCTGTGTCTCTCTGAGTTGGTGTGTAAATGATAACAATCTGTCCAAAGCTTCCTGAGGTATATTTGGGACCTATGTTATGAGAGAATTGAGAAAAGACAGAAAGAATAAATGGGGATATCTGATCAATCAACCAGAAATTCTGGCTACTCGGCAAACAATATTAGAATTATATTTTTAGAAAGTACCTGGTGATAGGTAACATGTTGAACTCCTTGATAAATTTGCTTATTCATTTTCTCAGGAAACATTTCTGCCTCGGCTTTCTCTTTAACAATCAGGTAGTTAAAACCAAGCCACTCTTCATTTATAATTCCACCACCAGGATAAAACTGAAAGGAGCCTCTAACTCAATTAAAAACTGGCATAAAGTGTACCCATAAAAAATTTTTCATAATTATTTCCCTGTTTGTTAGCTTCGACATGATTTTTTAAACTCTAATTTAGGCATTTTTCTTACTAAAACCAAACTCCTTCACTTAGTAATCTTATTATCTACCAAGTGAAATGGGTATCCTGCAACAAAGAATGGATGCCCACGCTGTTCATTTTTTCAAGGACTTTTAAACCACATACCTAAGGGGAGTAATCAGTTTATCAATGAATTCTGAAGAACAGTTGCCTAAATAACACATGCTGATTTCTTGAGCAGTAATAATCTTAATCTAATTAAATATTTAACTGAATTAAATTATGAGAAATTAAACTAAAACAATGACATTTTATAATTTTGATTTAAAAAGATCAGAGAGATATTAGAACAATGACTAGTATAATGTAACCACTTCAGAAGTAAACTGCTCAGGGTTTCTTTGTCATTTAAGTGACTGGCACTTGAAAATTCTACATTCTTTTCAGTACCTATTTTATCTCATTCATTCTTTAAATTAAATCCTGTGATATAAGAAGCAGTATTATCCCCAACTTCAGATGAAGAAACTATGGTTGAGTAATTTACCCAAGATCTGGAGGCTGATGAAGAGTGGATTTGGCATTTATTTTTTTTTTAAGGATTTTATTTATTTATTTGACAGAGAAGAGAGAGAGGGAACACAAGCAGGGGGAGTGGGAGAGGGAGACGCAGGCTTCCCACTGAGCAGGGAGCCCGATGTGGGGCTCCATCCCAGGACCCTAGGATCATGACCTGAGCTGAAGGCAGACGCTTAATGACTGAGTCACCCAGGCCCCCGGATTTGGCATTTAAAAGTAAGCTGTTTGACTTGAAAGCCTATGCCCTTATCCACCTCCATGCTCACAAGACCTAAAATTAATCAGCTAGTTCTGGTATTTCAAAGGGGATGAGTGCATTTATGTAAAAAGTTACTTATCTGTGATCGAGAACAACACCACCCAGTAGAACTTTCTGTGATGACGGAAACGTTCTTTACCTATGCTATCTAACATGGTAGCCAAAACCCTCCAGGTGTTTATTGACCCCTTGAAATATGACTGAGAAACTGCACTTCTAAAATTTATTGAATGTGGCTGGGGTGCTACATTGAACAATGCAGTTCTAAAACTCCAAAAGTGTGAAGCACTTTAGTTAAGGCAGACATTGAAATAACGCATTACGTATACTGCAAGCCACTGGATAACTAATCAGGTAAGCACAGATACATTACAGTACTGAGGGGAACAGGACGACTTTGTATTTTCTAAAATCTAAGGAACTAAAATATATTTGGCCTCCCTTTATAGTAGGAACTTAAAATAGTCATCTCTGGCTGATAATAGAGGGAAAACGAATCCTAAAACTGCCTCCACATGCGGAAAGTGGAAAGACAACTTACATCCATGGTTCTCAAAGTGTGATCCCAGATCAGCAGCATGGGCATCACCTAAGAACTTTAGAAATGTAAATTCTCATGTACCGCCCTAGACCTAGGGACTCAGCAATCTGCATTTTATCAGGCCCTCCAGATGATTCTGAAAAATGCTAAAGTGTGAGAACCATTATATCAGGAAATTTGGGAGTAAATGGGAAGAAGCCAGAAATGTCCAATTCTGCTCCGACAGGTGTCAGAGTACTTTGAAAGAGAACAGCTGAAGGCAACAGGCTAGAGCTCGCCTTACTCTTACCATTTCCTTAATCACTTGAATTTCTTCACTTTTGACAAGTGGTTTCATATAATGGAAAAAGAACATGGTTAAGAATTCTGGTCCCAGCCACTGCTGTGTTGTGCTTCCGATAACAGGGGGCTCTGCCAAGGCGATGATTCTGAAGGAGGGGTGGACAGGAAAAATGGATCTAAAAGGGGAAAAACAAACAAACAAACAAACATAAACTTTCATATTAGAAATTAGGTCATGGTAGCTAAAGCCTAGGCAACGATAAGCCTACTGCTATTAATATAGTCAAAGCTATTATCCAAAGAACAAGCCTTGAAAAAAATCAGGACGTCTTAAGAACTTATTATTAAAACAGAAAAAGAGGGGTGCCTGGGTGGCTCAGTCAGTTAAGGGTTCGACTTTTGATTTCAGCTCAGGTCATGATCTCAGTGTCATGAGATCGAGTCCACATTGGGCTCTGTGCTGAGTATGGAACCTGCTTGAGAGCCTCTCTCTCTCCTTCTCCCTCTGCACCTCCTCTGCCCGTAGGAGGCACCGTAGCCCACTGCTAGTAGCTGTTAATTATGAGACCCTATGGTATCAGACTCACTGCATTCTCTCTCTCTCTCTCAAATGAATAAATAAATCTTTAAAAAAAAGAAAAAAGAATCATCTACTGCTAAAACATCATGTACTGTTTCCACTGATGATCTCCATCCCTGCACAAACCACTGTTCTGGATATCCTCTTATGCCTCCAATAAATTTTTTCCATAGTCCCTTGAAACAAAATTCCATCCAGTTCATATTCATTACATAGGTTCCTTTTCTTTATTCAAAATCCCCTCAAAATCTCCTGTCTTGCAAGGAACCCACTCTATGTCAATCATAGAAAGACCAAGGAGTATGATCCAGGATGTTCACTTCACAACACAGAAGATTTAAGCAGCATAAGGGGCTGGGTTAAATTTAAAATCTGGATTAACAAAAAGAATACTTAGGTCTTCAAAAGATAGAGAAAATTAAATGTTTATATAATTTACTCTTTTGTCATTTTATAGGAAATATTGTGATTTTTAAAGTGATCTCTTTTATAGATCTCTGCTAGGGAATCTAGGGATGTAAGTATTCTAGGACACATAGAAGAATAAGGTAAGACTGCCCACCATTTGTGAAATGACTTGAGTATGTTTTGGAGAACAGACTAGACACCCCTTAGAATCTATTCATGTGTGTGATAGTGTCAGTTCTTATTAATTGCACTCTAAACCGCAGTGGAAATATAACTTTAAAGGGTAATATCACCCTTGCTGTAAGAAAGAAAAGATAAAATGCAAACACTTGCCAAGATCTTCACAAAAATAAAAATTTAGGTACATAACTGGCATTTCTCCAGAAATAGACTATTCATTGCCATTAACTATTATAATAGAACCCAACAGTTAAGTGATTAGGCAGCTAGAATATTAGGAGGTAGGATATGTGTGGAGAGGATTAGTTAGGTACTTGGAAGATTTAAGATAAGAAAATGCCCTCCCAATACAACAGGTAAGGCCACTGAGTCCCTGACTACATGATCTGTAATTTTAGAGGCCACACCATAATTTGCAAACCAGGGAAAAGCAGTTTTTAGAAATGGTCATATGAAAGGTCTAGAAGTATTCATAAAAGCTACCAGATATTGTTTCATTGTGCTAGGTAGGAAAAAAAATCCTTATTTACAGATATTCAAGCAGGGCATGGGAATGATCTATCCAAAGGAGTTGTTCTGGGAAAACAGGAAAGAATAACATGAGCAGAGTCAGAAAGTCCTGAGGATAGCATGATCACTGAGGACTGCCAGCAATTAGATAGTCCCACAAGAGAATCTAGACACAAAAATTCTGTGATCTAAAAGCTAAAAGAGAAGGTTTTTCCATTTTCCACTTCTGCCAAGTGGTTTGCCATATTCCAGAAAACTCAGCTCCATGGCCCAACAACAGATGTTGGATTCATCCTTGATCCTCCTCTTTCCTAGCTGGGACAAAAGAAGGTGGGAGAGACAGAGCTGCTTTTTTGTGATTTGACTGCACAAAATTAAATCTGCAGATGTAGTTTCTTATTCAAGATAATAAGGGATACTAAATCAGGGAAAAAACAAAGCCAAAATCCAACACGTAAGCCAAAAGAGGAAGTCCAATTTATATCCTTAAACCAAAAGATCAGGAAGCAGGTACCACAGCTGAACTGTGAATTTAGGACTAGAAGAGCAATTAACATGAGAGCAAGCCATAGGAGAGCAAGCTAGGTGGCTTGAATTTAAATATGTGATGATCATTGCTTAAAACATCACTGTCTGTGGCTTGCTTTTTGGTATTGACTCTAGCAGGGTACCCGAGTAAGCGGGCCCAATTTAAAGAGGGCAGTTTCTGAGACAGCTGATGTGTCAGGGAGAGAAGTGTACACTGACTATAAAAACAGCCAGCAAACTACTAAATAACAGGATAAGGACCGTTGTGTTGCTAGGTCTCCCCCAAAGGCTTCCTTACATATAAATAGGTCATATGGAAAGTCATTTCCTGATGATGATAGGATCTCCACGTCTGAAAGTTGGAGAGCAGAGTACTCCTGCGGATCTGCCACGTACTTTCAGGTGATTTAACATACTGGCGTGTAATACAAAGGTTGGATAAGTGGTAAACAGTTGAGAATTAGGAAACAAGAACAGTTAAAAGTTAAAACCAAGGTTAACTTTAATTTTACTAGAATTTAACAACATCGAATAACAAATGAAACTAAAGATATAGCTTAACTTCAGATAAGTAAATATTTCATAAAGATTAAAGATTAAAAACGCAAAATGCTCTTTTTAAAAAAGATTTCAAAAATAAAAGTACTGAGGTCAGTATGTTTGTTTGGGGGCACTGAATATAAGTTTTAGAGAGTAAAGCACTTTCCACTGCTTCTCAGCAATAAAAAGGAATGAATTATTGATATACATAACATGAAAGATCTCAAAGTAATTATGCTGAGTGAAAGAAGCCAGATCAAAAAAAGTATATACTGTGTAATCCCACATACATAAAGTTCTAGAAAATATAAAATGTATCAACTAACTGGAAGCAGATTCCTAGGGGTTGGAGAGGAGGGTGACAAGGGTCAAGAGAGAGGGACTCCCCAGGGGTCTGAGTGCACTTTGGGGGGATGTCATAGATGTATTCATTATCTTGACTGTGGTGATAGTTTCATAAGTATAAATGAATATCAAAAATTATGAAACTGTGCACTTTAAATATTCACAGTTTATTATACATCATTATACCTCAAAAAAGCTATTAGTAAAAGAAGAAAGACTTCAATAAAATCGAATCTTTTGAAGGAAATTAGAGGGTAATTTTTGTCAAATGTGTCTATTAAGGAATTTGAAAGAATAACACAGAAGGTTTTTATGAAGACATTAATCATAAGCCGAAGAGGATTTTATAACTGGCCTTCTATACTATTACTAGCGTTCCCATTCTGAACCTACAGGCTGTGCAGCCTGTATTTCACCTTTATTTCCTGTGCAATGTAGCAAACCGCATGGACACATTCCTTACTCACCCTTATACCACACAAGGTCTAGGGTGATACCTGGAAGAGAACAGATGCTAACTAACTAAATAAATGTATTGCTATGGTTAAGAGCCATCACTGCAAGAAACTTTTTGAAGACCTTTGATGGCAAGGACAAAAGAAAGGTAACTGATAAGAACTGGGAATAATGGTTTTTCACCCAAAAGCAGAGCAGTTAATATAATCTGGTCTTGCACGAGTACGTTAGAGAAGGTTCATCCTCTATCAAAAAGACAAAACCAAAACACACAATAATAATTAGACTCTTCATGGAGTTTGGAAAAAATGGTTCTTTTTCAAAATCAAAATTTCCTTAAGCCTCTTTGTTTTGAGAATCAAACACAAAGACTCAGGCATAAAATCTTGGATCTATCTTGAATTTTGTTAAAAACTTACATGGCCTAATTTCCTAGCATAAAGATGCTGAGGTTTCTGGGGAATGCAAGAGAGAATGCTCAGATCCTACTGTCTTCAAGCATAGGAGGAAGAATAAAAGGGTCCAGAGAAGCTAATCAATCAAGGATTATACCCGATGTCCAGTTATGGTTCACTACTGATCAAGAAAAACTGGGAGATTATAAACTGTTTTCAATATTCAATCACAATCAATACAAATAAAATATACAATAAAAATGTAAAAACATTAGAACATATATAATTATAACTGAGACTAGGCCACTAATCTCTATTGCTTCCCTGAGATAACCATAAGCTCTTTCTTGGCAAAATAAACAATTAGTAATGCACAGACTCTTGGCCCCCTCATCTATGCTCTGACCAACGGCCGGAAGGAACACATTTAGCAGCCTATAGTATTTGAACTCCCCTTTTCCCCAAAGAAGTTTTTCTCATCAAAGGAAGCAGTTCTATTTTGGTCGTTATTTCCTGTGAGAAATGCAGGCATGGTGTCTGGTGTGCATGGCCATCATACTATTTCTAACCACCATGTCTGCTGGATTCTTGGAGTCTTGCAACAAAAGAAAGAGAGTCACTAACATTTCTGACACCATATCTAAGGGCACATGAGCCATGTAATTACCTGCAAAGAATGCCTGCAGAGGGTTCTGATCAAGATAAAGGATCTTGGTGAAGAATTAAAATATAATGAAGGTCAGCAAAGGAGTCAAAAACAATTGTTTAGAAATTGGGTTTCACACTATGAAGCTGAAAGGCACCGTAGCCCACTTCTGGTAGCTGTTAATTATGAGACCCTATGGTATCAGACTGGTCATAAAAGGAGAACTATTCTTGTTACTAGGTTTATAAAAGTAAGCACTACTAGTTCAGAAGGTCATCTAAAACCAGATTAATAGATTACCTTTACCTTGGGTTTCCTAGAATTTATACAAGTTAAGATTTATTCACTGTTCAAACACACTAAGTAGTCTACTACATGTCAGGTATTGTGACATTCGAGACAAAGAGATGAAGTACAGAGCAACAATGTCCTGTAAATAGAGCAACAATGTCCTGCAACATTAAAGTCTTAAGTTCTGGGGGTGCCTGGGTGGCTCAGTTGTTAAGCGTCTGCCTTCGGCTCAGGTCATGGTCCCAGGGTCCTGGGATCGAGCCCCTCATCGAGCTCTTTGCTCAGCGGGAAGCCTGCTTCTCCCCCTGCCACTTCTCCCCCCCCCCCCGCTTCTCCTTCCCCCACTCCCCCTCCTTGTGCTCCCTCTCTCGCTGTCTCTCTCTCCTCTGTGTCAATTAAATAAATTTTTTAAAAAATTAAAAAAAAATAAAGTCTTAAGTTCCAGTCATTTCCTGACACCCAACTGCATCCTTGCCTCTCCTCTGACCATGTGAAATACCCTTAAGTTCCTTTTGCAACAATTTAACGTTTTTTTGGTTACTTGTAACTAAAGGAGTCCTGCTAGACATAAATATGGTAACTGGTCCTATCTGAAAACAAGCAGGTATCAAAATTTACCAAACTGGGTCTAGAGACAAGGACGCTCTTAAATCTGCTTTCCCTTCTTTCTAACTTTGACTTTTTCCTCTATCTCAAAATTCCCCAAGGAAACAAAGCATTAATAGCTGAGTTTGTTTAAAGACTATCAGAAATAATCATTTTGCTGAACTTCAATTCTGTGCTTAGGTGACTCAGATGATGAGTTTCTAATTTATAGTTCAAATGCTAATGCCAAGAGTGGCATATTAGACATGCACAGCATATAGGATCAACCCATGTTAGATAATGGGTCATATTACTTATAAGAACAAGTCATGAAAAATTAACTTCCTCAATGAGTACAAATTTCCCACTTTATGCTATGCTATGTCCTTCTGGTCAGCCTGTCAGCTCTCTACCTAATAAACACAGCCCTGAAAGAAATACTGTCAACTGGCATAAATTTACTATATTCCACCCTATTATAACCTATTATAACCCTAAAAGAGAACATATTTATTCTCGGAAAGTCAAAAATGGGCCACAAAATTAAATCAAGTTTAGCCAGGAAAAGATAAATTTACTAAGAATCCATCTCATCAGAGTGAAGTAGAGTCTGTAACATGACTGTTTAGCAATGAAATAGAGAAAAACTGTTTACAATCCTAAGAAAATAGTGTGTTTCTCAGGCAAAAGGAAGAGGAATACTGATAAAGGAATTTGACTTTCAACTGGCAGAAATATTTCAGACGGAGGAGAATCAACTGTTGGACATCTTGCCTCTGGGAAGCCAGCGAAGACCTGACAAACGGACAGATCGTAAGAAAGAACAGAAAATTAGAAGGCCAGCCCAGGAGGTTCAACATCTAACTGACGGAAGTTGCAGAGAGACCGGAGGAAATGGGAAAGTGGGAGTGGACAGAGATCTATCATGACATGTGAGCTACAAGTATGAAGGGCAGCAGGTCCAGATCAGGGCTGTCGGAATGCACTATGGGACAAAGATGAAACTGATAAAAGCCTCATGTGCCTCAACATGCTGAGAGGAGATTTATACAAGAGGGGAAGCGTCTGGGATGGAAAAGTGATAAATACATAGAAAACAGGGTCACTTTGTCTTCTGTGTTCCCACAGCATTATTGCAGAGATCTCTGTTCTAACATTTAAAAGCTGCATTGTAATTATTTATCTCTGTATCTGGCTCTCTTCATATATATGCATTCATTAACTTTAGGAAAAACAAAATGTATGCAAGAAAGGAAAAACAACTGTAGTTTACCAAATGACTCAGCTGTTGTACAGTCCTTATGCTGTGATAATCATGCAGATGTTGAGTGAGGTTCCAAAGAAAATTATTCCATAACTACTTAGGAAGAATGAGAGATGGGAAGGATGTATATGTAGTGGGAAGAGAAGTGGTAAAAAGAGCTAAACCTTACCTTTCCATAGGAAGAAATCAATCAATAATGCCTAACACTGAAAAATAAATCAAGAAATACCAATGAAAGCATATTATGATATTGCAGTAGTGATGTACGGGGACAGGGTAGCTACACTTGTGGTGAGCATAGCATAATGTATAAACTTGTTGAATCACTATGTTGGACACCTGAAATTAATGTAGCATTGTATGTCAACTATTCTTAAAAAAAAAAAAAAGTATATTATTTAGTGATACGGAGGTAAGTACCTGGGGAAAAAAAAAACAACAGCTCAAAGTTGAAAGGAGTAGTCTCTGGGCTTTGGGAAATGGGAAAGTGTCTGAGGACAGATGACAGTGGACTGGTATTTTTCATAAAAAGTCTTGAAAAAGCTATCTTGCTCAAGTTTCATGAATGTTTAACAATGATATAAAATTTAAAAAAATTAAAAATAAGTGAAGGAAACCAAGCAATGCTCTTATGACTTGTTTCTATCTCCTCAGAGTGACCTCTAGAAATAGAACTGAGCCTGGTTTGTATTCATGCGAGTGATGAAAATCAACAGTGATGAAGATGGGACACTTTGAGAAGGAAGTACTACTAACCAGTGTGAGCCAAAACCTCAACACAATGTTCAGGGCCACTATGTTCCTGAAATTGTTTTCATTTGTAAAACCTCTTGTGACCATTAGGGAGAACTTGGGTACTTCTCAGGGAAGAGGGCTGTCATTTCCTGGACACTGGACTACAAATACAATGCTCCTGAGGTCCTAAAGGAGCCTGACAAGCAGACTTGCTCAGAGCTACTGCCCAACTGCTTTGATTCGTCTCCCTGAAAATATAAACTGTTCTCTGATGTGTGGTTCACACTCAAATAATGTACAAAAGCTGATTGTTATAAACTAAAGGTATGAAATGAGAGGGATCTTGATAACTTCCCTCCCTAGATACTCAACCAAACTATTTACTGGGCTAGATGAATTTGATGATGTGGATCCCAGCTGTGTATAATCAAGTGAATTTTTTAAATAACTTATACAGAGGTAGTAAGGAATTTAATATTTCCTCTCTATAAAAAAATTCCAAGGAAATTTTTAAACTCTCCTTAAAACAGAAACACAGTAAGAAATACACTTAAATATCATTTGTAAAATTTTAATGTGTTAAATATGTCAGCAAGCCAGTGCGGGGAGGGGAAGCTTCAATTAAATAAGATTCAATTAAGTGACTAGGTACTTGCCAAGGTAACAATCTCTAGTTATGTCAAAATATCCATGGAAATGTAAGGAGACAGAAAACTTACATTTGCCAAACGTCCTCTAAAGGAAAGTAGTATTTAGCTAGAAGAAATCTTTTGCAATTTTTCAAACACATCGAAAATTTGAAGGAGTAGAATATGAACACCTGTTATCTCCTTCACCTAGATTTCGCCAACTATTAAGATTTTACCACCTTGGGGGCGCCTGGGTGGCTCAGTTGTTAAGCGTCTGCCTTCGGCTCAGGTCATGATCCCAGGACCCTGGGATCGGGCTCCCTGCTCTGCGGGAAGCCTGCTTCTCCCTCTCCCACTCCCCCTGCTGTGTTCCCTCTCTTGCTGTCTCTCTGTCAAATAAATAAATAAAATCTTAAAAAAAAAAAAAAAAGATTTTACCACCTTGTGTTCTCATTCCCACTTGCTCTTCCTCTGTGTGCGTACATATACACACACGTACGTGTCCTTTTTTTCCCCTGAAACATCTGGAAGGGAGTCGTTGACCTCTTTTTACATTATCCCTTAAATATCTCAGTGTGCATTTCCTATGAACAGGAATATTCTCCTTCAAAACCAGAATACCATTATGATACCTAAGAATATTAACTCAATATCATGTAGTATATATATTCCACATTTAAACTTTCCCAACTATCCCAAAGTATCTTTTCTAGCTGTTTCCATTTGATTTCCCGATCCAGGATCCAAGCATTTGGTTCGGACATTTCTGGGAGGAATATGTAAGTAAGCCACAAAGGGTAATCCTGCATCAGGTGGCTTACCTCCATAATAACTGACTGCTTCCTAGGATGGAGGGCCCAGTAAATTATGAGGCTTCCCCCCCTCCGAAGGGATACAAAGTATGGGGCCAAAACTGGGTTGCTATGACAACCGGGGGGATTACCTTATCAGAGCTAATGTTCTTATGAAGTTGTTATTGAAACATGTATGTGAAAGTAAGGCTGAGAGTGCAGAGCACATCTTGGATAGCAAGCTCAAGTTGTAGGAAATGCCAGATTATGAGTATGCTCAGGACACCAAATTATTAAGGGATTCAAAGTTAGCTTGGCTTGACCCTAGGTTCAGAAGAAGACTAACAAGAGGGCACAAGTGACCACAAGAATGAGAGCAGGGCGCCCAACATTACCTCTGCTGTAGCTGCTCATCAGACAGTTGCAACTCTTCCTTTAAGCGTATATACCTGTCTTCTTTCAGCAGCCTAGAGCCGTCGTAGAGGCTTAGCTCCCGGTCGTGGATCAACCTAAGGGACAGGGGAAAGTCAGGGAACAACTTCATCGGTTTTGAATGTTTAAGTCACTGGAGGTGGAATCGGTTAACATTTTAATCCTGTCTATTATTCTGGGCAATTGAGTCTAACAATTTTGTTAGATGGACCTTTTGCAATTTCAAGTTGGCTAGTGCTATTATACTTGGCAAAACTATTGGTTTCTGTACTGGAGAGCAGTAGTCATGGTTACTAGATGCGGACAGCGGGGAGGAGAAGGATGAGGAGGAGGGGCTGGAAAGGGAACGGAGGAAGGAGATGAAAAGCAGCAGCTGAATGGGTGACTGAGGATAACCATGAGGTGCATATTAATGAACAAGGCAGGTGGTACATACTCAGAGTCTAAGGTAACTCTTTAAGGGATAGTATTATCCATGTATTTCTGTCTTTGGAATTACAGGATTTAAAACATCAAAAATCTGTAGAATGAAATAACTGGTGCTATTTCATATACTAACTCTGATGGTGACCTAACAGTCCACAGCACAAACAGCATCATCTTCCGGATGCTGCAGGGGTTGAAAAGCACTACTGCTAGATTTTACACCAACCGCTCAAGTCTCCGGATGCCCACACCACAGTTGCCCCACATGACCTCCACTCGGCAAGCACTGAGGTGAGGGGAAGCTGCATAATGCAAGGGTTAGGAGCATGCGCAGTGGAGAAGTCAGATCTGTGTTCAAATCCAGCTCTGTACCTTATCAGCTGAATGACTGGGGCAGGGGGAGCACTACTCCTCCATCTCTCTAAACTTTTCTCTGTTATAAAATCAGGGCACTCATACCAACCTCATAGGACTGCTGTGAAAATTAAACATCTAATACAAGGCAGATGCTTACTGTAGTTGTTCTCAATCTTGGCAGCACATTAGAACCTTCTGGGAAGGGTTTAAAAAGGCTGGTGTTCAGGCCTCACCCTGGATCACTTATATCTGAATTTGGGGATGCAGAACTCAGGCATCAGTAATTGTTAAGCTCTACCCACACAAGATGATGCCAGGGCTGAGAGCCTGAGAAGCACTGGCCAGGCACAATGCCCCGAGGAGAGTAAGGACTCAGTTAATGACAGCTGCCCCTTTTCCCAAGTGCCTGGCCGAGCAGGCAAGAGGTAACCAAGAAAAGGGGAGCAGTAAGGATGATTTCTGGTTGTGTCTGTATTTATCTGTTTAGAAGAAAAAACTACCCTAAATCTATGGAATATTTATGGCAAATCGCTAAAAATTTGTGGTTATTATTTTCAAATGCTCCCAAGTCTAATCAGGATTAACACAATGTTTTTGAAATTTTTAATTATACTCAGTATCTGCATCTTGTCAAGGACAAGAAACTCTGAATAGCTGGTTGGGAAAATGGATTATTCCATAGTTAGAAATCAAACGTCTAGAAGTGACAGAATCAAGACAGAACAAATAAAAAATTGGTATCATTAATCTTCCAAAATGACACAGGATGGAAATACTTTCCATGAAAGTTACACATGAAATTTTCTCTTAACATTACATTCTAGAGAAATTAATTAGGAATGTTTTCCCCACCCAAACTGAAATAAGGAAACAACAGTTACAAAATGTTCGAGGTTGTAAACACAACGTGAGTTTAGTCTATATAAAATATCATCAAACATCCATTACACATTCCATTTTTTTAAAGATTTTATTTATTTATTAGATAGAGAGAGGGAGCATGAGTGGAGGGGAAGGGACTGAGAGAGAGGGAGAAGCAGGTTCTTCACTGCGCAGGGAGCCTGACGTGGGGCTCGATCCCAGGACCCTGGGATCATGACCTGACCCGAAGGCAGACGCTTAAATGACTGAGCCACCCAGGCACCCCTCTATTACACATTTTATATAAGGAACCATAATTTCTCTCTCAAAAAAATCCAACAGAATTAACCAATAATTTAGATCTATGATTCATAAGGTGTTTATGTAAACAGTGATGCTGTGACTAACAGATCATAAGAAACGTGAGCTGCATGACTTACTGTATGTATCAATAAGCATATATGAAGTCTTTCAAAATTTTTACCTAAAAGTTTTCTTTTTTCAACTCTTACCCAGAGAATTTTGCCATGGCATTGTTTTTTTCCCAAAATGTTCAGTATTGGAAGTTTTACTGTCCTGTGTTTACAAAGATAAAAATCTCTGTTCTGGCTGGATACAGAAGTAAGTTTCTCACGATCTACAGGACCCAGTTTAAAAAAGACGACGATAGAGTTCCACGTCTACTGTTTACATGGAGTGTTTCTGTGTGTGTGTGTGACTCATACAAACCTTTGCAATACAGCAAGCGTGCCCACATTGACGCGGTGGATGCCATCCAAGAGGACGAGCTTTCCTTCCAGAGCAGCGTTCACAAGGGGTGAGGACCGCCACGCAGTGTCTCCGTTGGGAAGAGTGTATCTCTGTTGTAGCAGGTCACGTGCAGTCATATCCTGAAACCAAGCCCCACCACCCAACACAGAAAATGCAGGATTAATTTTTAAGAGATGGATGGAAGCTTATTTAGCTTTATAGTTACCACTCTGAACATAACATTCCATATAATAACTGGGAAGTCATCTTCTCCAATCCACTAAAAAGAAAAACATTCAAAAGCTTTTCTTGGTCATTTGAAGTTTTTCATGTTACTCATCCACACACTACAGTAAGAGTGAGGGCTTTTCTCCCCACCTTTTTTATTTAGCATTTTCCCCCTCCCTTAAAATGTTCATTTGATATCTATACAGATGATGGCAGTCATTGCCACTTGACTGTAATGAAATTTAATTCAATCAGCTTTATTTTTGTGGGGACCAAAATGTGTGGATTCCTTTTTAAGAATTAGAGGCCATACAAACTCAATGGGAAGAGATGCTTTTCAATCCTGAGCCATTTTCTTGCAGCTGAGTTCTCCTGAAAGGCCATGCTAGGGACCCATCACAGTGACTCAGTCTATTTAAAGAGGTTTGAAAACGGAGGAAACTGAGGAGGACAGTCATCAGATGAGGTACAGGAATTGACAAACAATAGCATGGCAGTTATAAGCAATTTTTAAAAAAGATTTATTTATTTGACAGAGAGAGAGAGAGAACACAAGCAGGGGAAGTGGGAGAGGGAGCCCACCGTGGGACTCGATCCCAGGTCCCTAGGATTGTGACCTGAGCAAAGGCAGACACTTAATCGACTGAGGCATCCAGAAGCCCTATAAGCAATTTTTTAAAGCACAAACACAATGCGCTAGCACTAAGACAGTGTGACAGATTTAAGCAAACTATTAATAGCAGTGGCATAAAATGTCCATTTTTTAAAATTTGGGGTGCCATATAATATCAACAACTTTTTCTTACATGTATTAATGATGAAGACAATAGTTTGTTTTCTGTTATCAGCTTCAGATAACTTTTGTGCAACTTATATCAAACAAAATTTCAACTTCTACAATCAATTTTATTCAAAACTTTAGTCTTTTGTAAATTCTTTGATATCCAACTGCAGTTTTAAGAAGACAGAAAACTAAAAAATTTGCTTATATTCACAATGGCAACAGATCTACACTGAAACCAAGATTAAAATATAGGTCTTAATTATTTCAATTTTCTCACTATCAAAAAAGTACTGACTTAGGAAGTATGAATAGGCTTATACTGAATCATAAAGACACTTGAGAATAGTAACATTCAAACTCACCAGATCCCCATAGCCCTAAAAGTCTGGCTTTGACACATTATCAAAATTTGGCTTAACTCATTAATTTTAATTTTTAAACTATGAACTTTAAATTCTATGCAAACTATATGAGCATGGCATTCTAAGCTGCCAATGATAGTTGCAATACTAAATCGAGCACCATCATCAGTGTTTACTGAGATGGTTTATGGTGAGAATGAGCTCATTCCTATTCATGGGTATGCAATATAAGAACAGGAAAAGAGGGGCACCTGGGTGGCTCAGTTGGTTAAGCCTCTGCCTTCGGCTTAGGTCATGATCCTGGGGTCCTGGGATCAAGCCCCACCTTGGGCTCCCTGGTCAGTGGGGAGTCTACTTCTCCCTCGCCTTGTGCCGCTCCCCCTGTTCCTACTCTCTCTCTCAAATAAATAAATAAAATCTTAAAAAAAAAAAAAAAAAAGGAAAGGAATCCCTGTGCAAGAAAAATAGGACAAATCAAAATAAATGTTTGTGGGTCATTTTCATAATTAAATTATGAAAAAAAAACTAATACACACACACAAACCTTTTTTAAATTAATATAAAAACAGGTAAATTTAAAGAAAACTCTTGGTAGTAATTATTTCAGAAAAATATTCACTATAGAGTTACATCATATATTGTTCTAGAGAATAAAGCAAACAGAAAACATGCTTTAACACAGCAGTTCTAAATCAAAGATATATACCGGAAATAGCTGGGGGAACTTTTGGAAAATACATTAGCATAGGCCCCATCACCCCAAGATCTGGATTCAATAGACCCAAGATGGGGCTTACCACCTGGATTTTATTAGACATTAATTACATAGATGATAAATTAAATATCCCTTAGATGGGAAACACTACTTTAAAAAAGAAACGTTAACTCAATGTGAAATTTGGTCTCATCCTATTTGTTTATACCCCTCTCTTATTCTAGTAGGAATTATGAGATTACATGAGGATATATGAGATGTATAACAAAACAGTATAAATTAAAAGGTGAAAAAAATGGAAGAAAGAAGACGGAAGAGTAAGCCTTGTTTCCTTCAAGTATTCCTATTGGTATTCAGAGAGGAGGTAACATGAAGAAAATATCCCATTGATACTGTATTTTTAAAGAAATGAATGGGTGTTGATTTTGAAAATGCCAGCTTGACACTGAAAATATATGGTATCCTGACCCACTTTAGCTCTGGAGTCCTTTGCGTGGGCCCAGGAAAAGAAGATGAGGAATGTGACTCTGGCATGAGAGGTTCAGACTCACAAGGAGCTGAGGCTAGCAACTGGTAACATTTCAAAAAAAATTTCAACAGAGAAAATTCCTTACTCTCATACCAAGACATCCTGAATCACCGTTCTAACGCACGCTATGAGAAAGCACTACTTCACTGGGTGATGATTCCAAAATTCTTTCATATCTTGTTAATGCACACACTGTCCACAATAGTTGCCTCATCCAAATGAGTAAATATTTACCAGGAAAGATGATGAGAAAGACAACCAGGACACAGGACGACTCTTCTACAACCTAGCAGTTAGAGATTCCCTTATTCTGACTGAAGTAAAGCATGATTATTTGTTGCCACACAACAATGACTAACAGATCAACAGAGCTCAGAGCTGCTAACAACTACAACTACAGAGCAGGAATTCTCCCCCTTTCTTCAATCCTCACAGGAATAAAAAATGGAAAACACCTGGCATTTCTTATAAGACTAGTTCAGTCCAGTTTTACCACCTAAACTCTTTCGTACTCTCATGGTAAAAAAGAGTCATTCTTCACTGCTAGTATGAGTTCACATTAAAATAAAAACCCTCCTTAGAGAAAGAAAAAAGCATTCCTTTTAATACAAGCTGCTAGTTTTCATAATTAAATTCCTATATGGGAAGAAAAGATGAAGATTCCAGCTTTTCCTTAAGGAGATAATTGCCCCCACTTTCCATAATATTAATTAAAATCAGAAATTATTTTTGATTGTGTGAGTGAAGAACACCAAAATAAAACTGAACTTCTGTGCAACTGAACCTAATCAAACCTAATTATTGACAGAATTTTTTCAGCATAGTCTGAAAGAGTCAGTGATATGAATTAATTTCAATAATAAGTTAATCTTTAAAATAGAGTAACAGCATCTCCATCTATAGAATACTTGGATTTTAGTACTGTGAAACTGTTGTAATATCGGTATTTATTTTAACATACACTGTATCATGAAATTGTTAAAAACATATCATTTCTTTATTCTTCCTGCCTACACATGCATCCCTAAAGCAAGTGGAGGGGCAAAATTAAAAAAAAAGAGTGTGCTTACTCCATATGATTATTTTGAAAGTACACTAATAAAAATAAAAAACGATGAATATCCCAATTTTTGCATATATTTTTCTTATCCATGAAACTTCTGAACTTAAGAGAATAAAAATAGTACTAATGATATCATAGAACCTGAACCATTTCCTCTTTCTGTATTTCCTTAAAAATTTTAAAACAACAGGACATGAAACCAAGTTCCTTTAGCACTACCATTGTCTAACCTTGAACACCTCACCTTCTCATTCAGATCCCTGGAAAACACTTAAGATTCACTTAAGATCTCTTAAGATTCAGTGACATTTGGAATTTTGCTCTTTTATTTTCTTTATTTTTATTTTTTGTAATTTTGCTCTTTTGATTTGCAATGGAGAAACCCTACTGAAAAAAAAAGTCCTATTAAAGTGAGAAGCATGGCTGCATGAAATGTATCAGAAAACATAGATCTGAGCCTAAAGTAATTATACATCTTACAGGTTTTTAGTACCTTTGAATGACATGCTAATTTTTCTGACATTTCCTTGAGAAACCTGGATGTTAAGTCATTAGTTTGATGAGATAAGTTCAATAAGCATCTTGTGTGTCAAGGGGCTAGAATAAGGCTAGAATTAGTTTTCCAAAGCATAATATCATTCAGAAAGATAAGTGAAAATATTATAGTGAGTTTTTAGCATATAAAGAAATTTGAGCTACGTCTCTTTAAATATGAATATTGATAAGACAGTAAAATTTTTCAGCATAAAGCATATATAATTTTTCTTGTGGACAATTTATATTACTATAGTAAATGGAGGATATCAAAATCTATTAAGAATATGACCTTAATTAGATTAAACATACACTTTTCCACTACATATATGAACCCAGAAGAATTTCAGGAAGTATTTGAGTTGGCTTGCAAAAATATGTATAGTATAACATTATAAAATTTGAAATAAGTGGATAAAGACAACTAAACAAGGGAAGATGAAATGAAGAAAGGTAAAGATAATACATAAAATATGTATTATAAGAAGAATTTAAAATGTGAATCTGATCTTTTTACTAACACACAAAAAAGAGTGACATAAAACAAGTTATGTAAGTCACAATAAGCACAGCATTGACACCAAAAAAAGAAGCAGCACCTTAATTTTTAATGACGAGATAGAGAAAAATTTGTTCCATGGGTCAGGTCATCATATAAAGTACAGTGTGTTAAGGAGTTAAAAACAGAAGTAACAATAATTACAGCCACTAATACTTAATGGAGAGTTTACTAGGTGCCAAGTACTCTATATAAATTAATTCATGTAATCCTTATAACCTTAAGAGACGAGTACAATTACTGCCTTCATCCTACAGATGAGATAACCGAGGTATGAAGGGGTTAACTTACCCAAAGAAGGACACACAGCTAATAAGCAGAGGATCTGGGTTGTCCTCAAAAATATTATTACAATAAATACAGCAC